CATCCGTTTCGTATGCGTTAGCCGCACGAGTTCAGCATTTCTCAGCTCTCAGCTATATGCTGAGCAGCAGCAAATCATGATACTCTGTAAAAAAATGTTTTTATCAAAATTTTCGCTTCAAAGCTACAACGTTGTTTTTAAGCAGAATCATTTCACACATTTTTTATTTATGGCTGTATTTTGCTACGTCTTTATTAAATTTCGTTATCAAACTATGTCGCAATGAATTTTCATTTTGCAAACTTCTTCGCAATCTATATAAATTTATTCTCATTCTCGATGGGTTTTACCATGACTCATGGTCCACGAGCACAACCAGAAAGCTGAGAAATGTCCATTAGAAAACACAGTTTAATTACCTCTCATTTTTTGTAAATTTACACTTTCACATCGTCGAAGAAATATTATCAAATTTCGAATGAATTCAACAAATTGCAAAAAAAAAAAAAAACGTTTGAAACAACAATTTGAACGAGCTCCAAATGAATGAAACATGTCAAATGAGTAAAAATCTTCCAGAAAGAAAAGCCAAAGTTATTTTTTATTATTAAAAAGACCTCCATATAAAATAATAATTATGCAAAAATCTTAATATTTCTATTCATTAAAAACATCATGTTCAATTAGTTCAATGTCATGTGGTCCGCTGCGTGCGATTTGTTTACTTCCTTTCGAATTGCATTCCATTTTTCTCGTCTTCTGTTTGCGCCTCAAAAGAATACACAAACCAACAGAAACAACTACAGACACAACTAATAAAAATTCAACAATTCGCAACTCTAATAGATAATAATTATGTTCAATATTTGTTTCCTGCGAGTGATCCATATGTATTTCCGATACAGTCGAATACTCTGTACTATTTTCGCTGGAATCCATTAGCTCAGTTGATGTTTGTTCAATTTCCGTTGTGATTTCTGTCTTTGTTTCTACACTTTTATCAACTTCAGACAGTTTTTCATTACTTTGACCTTTATCATGATAACAATCAACGCCATCGATGTGTGTCTGGTTGGATGGATTGTTTACAAGATGTAAATTGTGCCATTGAAGTAGTAATATTGCCAAGTAGTCGCACGAAAATCGATTTCTCGAAATGGCCAACGACGTCAAATTGGGGAAAATCAAATGAGTCACCGTATTCAATTCGACCAAATCGTTTCCTTCCAAATTTAATGTCTTTAATTCTTTAAAATTCCGGAATAATAATGTAAAATTCACCTTCTTCAGTTGATTATATGACAAATCCAGCTGAGAGAGTTTCCGCTGATGATAGAATGTCTCAAAGCCAAAGTTTGATAAATTTGTTTGGCTCACGTTCAGTACTTGTAAATTCTCAAACGTTTCAAAGGTGTGTGCATTTAATGCACCGACAAAATTTGCAGAAATATCCAGTTTTTGAAGCGATGGACCCAGCAATGCAAGCAACTTTGATGTATTTTCCAAATGCAAACCGGAAATATTGAAATACTTCAAATGTCGAAATGTTTCCTTGGCAAAACGAAACACAAAATTATACGATCCTCTTAAAAGGACGCCGAACTCGTGGTCCAGTTCCAAGTGCAGATTCCCCATGCAACTTAAGTCGAGCTCCTCAAGTGTTTCCCAATCGCTTTCGAAATTGGTCGATTTTTGAACATCACTCAGTGAGTTTTGGAGAATCGGAAAGATATTACAGTCAAAACGAACAATCCGATTGTTTTCTAAACGTAATTCCTTCAATTTTGGGTTATTTTCAAAGAAATTCTTATCAATCGACTGAATTTCATTGTTTCTCAAGTCCAATAAACATAAATGCGTCAGTTTTGCAAATGTTTCATTGTCGAAAGTCGCTATTTTGTTGAATGACCAATTCAACTCAGTCACATTTGGCAAGCTGTCGAAGAGTTTTGCTGGTATATTACTGAAACGATTGTGTGATGCGTCAAATTTTTCCAAATTTTCAAATTTTCCAACGAAATTCAGTGAATTCAATTGATTGGAGGATAAATCGAGAGTTTTTACTTTTCCGCACACATAGTGTAAGGTGAAAAGTATTGTAATCGGTCAAAATTTTGAAAACTTCAGAAACATGTTTTCTGGACGTTTCTGAGGTCAGAGAACCCGAATTAGGCCGTTTTGAGCATTGTTTATGTTAATCTGTACG